GTTCATCCTATCATGTTGATGGCGTATCCCAATGGAGATGGCTTCTTCCAACAAGACAGTGCACCATGCCACGGTGCTTGTATTGTGCAGGAGTGGTTTCAAGAACATGAGGGAGACTTTACCTTGCTTAGGTGGCCCCCACAATCACCAGATCTCAATCCAATTGAGCATTTGTGGGACGAAGTTAAAAGAGCCATCAGGCAGCTGGTTCCACAACCATCAAATCTCACAGAACTGGACAGTGCTATTCATCAGGCACGGTGTCAGATTCCTCGCATCACCTTTCAACATCTCGTGGAGTCAATGCCAAGAAGAATCGCTGCAGTATTGAAGGCAAAAGGTGGCCCAACAAAGTACTGATGGGGTGGTCATAAGAATCTGGCCACTCACGTTCAAATATATCCCACGTTCAAAGGCTGTTAAATCACGTTATTTACCCATGTCTTCAGAAAAAAATCACTTCTATTGTCGTGGTAAACAACCTGCTTTTCCCTATTTAATGGTCTGGCCCTCTAGCAACCTCAGCGCGAAATTATAGCTAATTTGCCTATAAACGTCAGGTGGTCATAATAATCTGGCCACTCAGTGTATGTGTTTCATTATATACATATATTATTGTATCCACTATAGAGTCACATCTTAAAAAAGAATTAAGCTTCAAGAAATTAGGTCTGGATGATCTCCAAGCCCCTTTAAAAACAATGTGAGTGCACTTATCACCACTAAACGGGTGGCTTAACAATGGCTAAGATGTCACTTTATGCTGTGAATTGACGGCAATTTAACAACAACAACAAAAGCTTACAGCACGTGAGGCCTGCTGGGACCTGTCCCCAGCCTGCCTCGCCCTGGAAACTGCCCGGTCGAGCCCTTAGACACATCCCTGCTGAACTGTCTGCAGCCCTCCATGCGGGCAGTCCCCCGGGCCTGGCCTCGGTTCAGTCCCCACAGCATCCGCATCCCCACCCTGCTCAGCACCTGTGGTCCTTTCGGTGGCCTCTCCCTCCCGGAGCCCCATCGCAGGAAAGCCCCCCCAATCGCAGTGTGCACAACCCCAACGCCCCTGCTGCGCCCCACGTCTGTGCAGGCACAACCCTGTCTTTTTGTCTGTGGCTTTAACACCCTGCAACAGTGCGTAGAGCAATTTAACAACAACAAAAGCTTACAGCACGTGAGCCCTGCTGGGACCTGTCCCCGGCCTGCCTCGCCCTGGAAACTGCCCGGTCGAGCCCTTGGACACGTCCCTGCTGAACTGTCTGCAGCCCTCCATGTGGGCAGTCCCCCGGGCCTGGCCTCGGTTCAGTCCCCACAGCCTCCGCATCCCCACCCTGCCCAGCACCTGTGGTCCTTTCGGTGGCCTCTCCCTCCCGGAGCCCCATCGCAGGAAAGCCCCCCCAATCGCAGTGTGCACAACCCCAACGCCCCTGCTGCGCCCCACGTCTGTGCAGGCACAACCCTGTCTTTTTGTCTGTGGCTTTAACACCCTGCAACAGTGCGTAGTGAGCTCATAATAACGTTTGCTGAAGAAACCGAAGAACTTATTTCCTGCAAACACTTAACTAGGAATGAGCCTATTACGCTGCCCCCGGGGACGGCTCCTGCGTCTCCCGAGGACTCGGCTGTGCTGCCCGGGGCGGAGCGAGGCTGGGCAGCCAGGTGACTGTGAAGATGACCCAATGCCGGGTCCCGCATCCGTTCGGGGGTCAGTGGGCCCTGCTAGCTGAGCCCCCAACAGCCGTGCAGCAGAGGGAGGCCGACTCCAGGCCTTCGGTCACTTTTGTGACCTACACAGGCCAGAGGCCAGAAGCCCAGAGCAGGGGACCACGCGTGACCCGCCCCTGCTGCCCCCGGGTGGCACGGCACAGCGTGAATCGTCCCGTCTGCAGGTGAGAGCCCAGCACCAACTCCTCCAGAGCTTTGCTCCACATAAGCCAAGGAGTGGCAGGGCCCCATGCAGGGACGGCGCAGGCAGGGTCCTTCAGTCCTGCGGGCCCAGAGAGGGGACACGTGTGGCTGTGCTCTGTTCCGGACAAGGCGGCTCCTGGCCCTCCCTCCACAGACGCCCTTCCTCTGTCACCCTGTGTCCCCTTCCTTCACAGCCTCCGCATCCCCACCCTGCCCAGCACCTGTGGTCCTTTCGGTGGCCTCTCCCTCCCGGAGCCCCATCGCAGGAAAGCCCCCCCAATCGCAGTGTGCACAACCCCAACGCCCCTGCTGCGCCCCACGTCTGTGCAGGCACAACCCTGTCTTTTTGTCTGTGGCTTTAACACCCTGCAACAGTGCGTAGTGAGCTCATAATAATGTTTGCTGAAGAAACCGAAGAACTTATTTCCTGCAAACACTTAACTAGGAATGAGCCTATTACGCTGCCCCCGGGGACGGCTCCTGCGTCTCCCGAGGACTCGGCTGTGCTGCCCGGGGCGGAGCGAGGCTGGGCAGCCAGGTGACTGTGAAGATGACCCAATGCCGGGTCCCGCATCCGTTCGGGGGTCAGTGGGCCCTGCTAGCTGAGCCCCCAACAGCCGTGCAGCAGAGGGAGGCCAACTCTAGGCCTTCGATCACTTTTGCGACCTACACAGGCCAGAGGCCAGAAGCCCAGAGCAGCGGACCACGCGTGACCCACCCCTGCTGCCCCCGGGCGGCACGGCACAGCGTGAATCGTCCCGTCTGCAGGTGAGAGCCCAGCACCAACTCCTCCAGAGCTTTGCTCCACATAAGCCAAGGAGTGGCAGGGCCCCATGCAGGGACGGCGCAGGCAGGGTCCTTCAGTCCTGCGGGCCCAGAGAGGGGACACGTGTGGCTGTGCTCTGTTCCGGACAAGGCGGCTCCTGGCCCTCCCTCCACAGACGCCCTTCCTCTGTCACCCTGTGTCCCCTTCCTTCCCACACCCCCGCCCGCCCAGTGCAGAGAAGGGGGTTGCCTGGCGGCACAGCGTGGGCCCCACCTGCCCCACATGGCTGGGGATCTGCGAGCAGGGCCAGAGGGCAGGGGGCCTGAGTGTGGACACACCGCCGAGGAGGGGGGGTCCACAGAGAGGGAGGAGGTCAAGCCGGCCAGGAGGGGGCCGGCTGAAGGAGTGTGTGGGGCGGAAGAAGTGGTTCAAGGAGGAGGGACGGCAGGCCAGGCAGGACAAGGACCTCTGCCCGCAGCCCCAGTCCCTCTCCATCAGCCTGTCCCCTTCCCCACCGTGCCTGTCTGCTCTGTGACCTGCCTTTCTCATCAGCCGTCACCTTCCTGGCCTGTGAGCTGCATGAGGCACAATGGGCTCGCCTAAGAGGGGACGGGGTCAAGGGATAGGGACAGGGGACAGGGGATGGGGATAGGGATGGGCGATGGGGATAGGGGACAGGGTCAGTGGATAGGGGATAGAGGACTAGGGAGAGGGGACGGGGAGAGGGGACAGGGAGCTGAGGAACTCAGAAGGACTTCACAGAGCGACCCTCACCTGGGCACAGATCAAGACACAGCAAACACAGGAAGAAAATGACCAAATGAAACAAAGTGGGGACATTGTTCAAAATAACACGGAAAGACTTCCCTCATGCAGTTTAAAGATACTTTCCAAGGGAGGCCATTGTGTGGCACTGGGAAGCTGGGCCCACGGCGCGCTCGGTCTGCGGCCTGCAGGGGTCGCTGTGGTGGTTACACTGTTTCCCATCCAGACACAGGTGGGCGCTCACCTTAAAGGGCTGTCCACCATCTGGGCAGCACAGGAGGGAATGCCGCTTAAAGCGCAGGTTCATCGCCGTGTGAAAGGAGTCTGACAGCCTCTCGCACGCTCACTGACATTTCTAGTTCATGCCAAACCTGAGACAAAGCCAGGCATTCCCGGCCCTGTGACTCCCACCACCACTGACTGCTCTACACCGCGATTGGCCTTGCGTGTGGGCATCTGTTTGAAAGTATTTCGACTACAAGGCCCTGTGGCCGGGGGTGCAAGGCCGTCCCCCGTCTCGGGACCGGATCTGGCGGCTCGGTCACCCAGGGATCTCGGAACCTGAAAGAGGTTTCCTTGCCTCCAAGGAAACGATCGCGCTCTTACCTTAGACAAGTCTGTCCACCTGTTTTTTGCTTTGGTGACAAGGTACTGGTGAGCCTGCTCGCAAGCTAGTTCTGAATCTGTGACCTTCTGCTTTTGTCTTAAAAGAGAAATAAATCAGTGAGTAGCTGTGCTTACATGGAATGGGCTCATCCATCTCCCAAGGAGTCCCCTGCCCCGTGTCAGAGACCCCTTTAGAGTCCTGGTCCGCACCTGGTCTAACTTAATTCTTAAAAGACGGTCTGATCTCCCCAGCTGTACGTTAGGGAAGTCTTAGTAAATGTGACAAGTCCTCGTTTATTTTCAGATAAATTCGATTAAACTTTTTCTGCAGCTCACGAAGCCGACAGGGCTCATTTATCCTCCCAGGGAAAAACACAAACATTGGTGTCTTCAGAAGCAAAGGGCTGAAAACTTTACTTCTGGGGTCACACGTTTGGACAGTGCGGGATAGTTTGGACTGAGGCAACGATGGGGGACGATGCGATTAAACTTTTTCTGCAGCTCACGAAGCAGACAGGGCTCATTTATCCTCCCAAGGGAAAAACACAAACAACATCGGTGTCTTCGGAAGAAAACGGCTGAAAACTTTACTTCTGGGGTCACACGTCGCGGGATAGTTTGGACTGAGGCAACGATGGGGGACGATGGGGCAGCGCCTCAGACGCCTGCCTCAGCTCAGGCACAAAGGCGAGGCTGCAGGCGGCAAGGTCACCCGGGCCTGTGGATCTGCTCCCAGGATGACGTGAGCCAAGGACAGAGCCTGTGGCCCCACGGGCGTGGCTCCATGGTTGAGCGTCAACCTGTGAAAACCAGGAGGGCAATTTGACTCCCAGGCAGGGCACATGCCTGGGTTGATGTTTCTGTCTCTCTCCCTCTCCCTTCCTCTCTGAATTCAATTTAAAAAATAATAAATAAATAAAAGCCTGTGCTCCCGCCTCGGCGACGCCACAGCGAGGCGCAGCGCAGGCTGAGGCTGAAGGAAGGCGGGTGCCTGGATTCTTACTCCCCAAAACCAGGTAGGGGAGTGTGAGACCTGTCACGCCCTCAGACTTCTCCCGGGAGGTGCCTGGCGCAGTGGCACCTGTCACTCCGTTGGGGACCTGCGCTCCCCCACGGCCAGGTCTGCACCGGCAGCATTTTCCAAGCACCCCGTACCCCTCCCACCCCCGGTCACGGGCAGTTCCCTGACCTGTGGCCATGTGCGTGCATACCGGGGCCGCACACTTCCTTGCAGGCACCTGCCTGCGGGGACAAGAGGGGACCCGGCTGAGGCCCATGGAGACCCTCACGTGATTTCTCCATGAGGGGCCCAGGAAAACCAGGCTGAACGGCACCCCCCCACCCCTACTCCCAGGTGAGAACACGCAGCAGTGCCTGGGCCCCCGCTGCGGGGACGGACGGAGGTCTGTGTGACCCTCCGCAGCGCTGCTGTGACCGTGACCCTCTGCCTGGGACGCGGGCCGGGGGCACAGGTCCCCGT